TATTTTCCCAGAAGGAATGCAGCAACCTTCTATATCAGGAATTTAAAATTTGACTTGGCCTATGTAGGATTCTGATCATACTTTAAATAAAAAAGGAAGGAGTAGACAAGAAAAAAGGAAAGAATAGAGCTTTGTGTGTGACATGATAAAGTGCATTAAAATGCAGTAATAGAAAATGTAAAAGGATAATAGGGCAGTAAGTGCTCTATAGGTTTCGCCAATGTCTCTGAAAGTATCAAGCAGCAATCTTCATTATAGTCTTTAAATCTTTGAATTTGGTTTCTTTTGACACACGATTTCTTTTGACACAACAAAGCTACAAGGTGCCACTTGGGACTTCAGCAGAGGTAATAATCTGGTTATGCTGCAAAGGTGGTAGCTAAAAGCTTGATAGACACAACAATCATGAGTAAATGAGAATTTAGAATGAGAGTTAACGCATGGATAGGTATTAAGTGAGAACCATGAGTAAGAGCAGAAACAGTGAAGTCAAGGTGCCTAGGGGAGGTTCCTCCCCCACAGAGACACATCTTTGTTTTCCCTCTGAAGGAAGTTGGGTAAAAGCCAACTTCCTTTAGGAGTTGTCCAAACAGAAGCAAGGATAGAGAGGAACCATTATACTCTGGGTTCTGGATTATTTGTTTTATCCTCTGTAGTGTCCATGATAAGGGAGAGAAAGAAAGAAGAAAAGGGAGTTACATTTAATGAGTCAGGGTGAGAACTCTCATCAGAAACAGCAGCCATAAAAGCTATTGTTCAGCTAAGTCACTCTTAGGAAGAAGATGCCTTAACAGCCTGAGGTTTGGGTTGCAACCAGAAAATAACCTAGAATTAAAAGCAATGTACAAACTTTAGGATCTCAGAGAGCCAATTTGGACCTTTAATGGAGTCTATATGACTGTTGTGCTTTTAATGCCTTTCTACCTTCAGGAAAAAATATTTCAAAATAGCTCTAGTCACATGCTTCATCTCTGTGAAACAATTGACAGGTTAACCTTTCCAATTTATTTAAATATTCTTATTCTTGATACGAGTACCTTCTCTAACCCAGGATGTCTCACCCTTAATACTATTAACATTGAGTGCAGGTGATTCTTTCTTTTAACTGCTCTCATGTTCATTATAGGATATTTTGCAGCATCCTTGGCTTTTACCACTAATAAAGTAGCATCCCCTATATCCCTGTTCCAATTGTGACAATTAGAAGTGTCTCTAGCTGGGTCTCAGTGGCTCACATCTATAATCCTAGCTACTTGTGTGGCTGAGATTGGAAAGATTGCAGTTCGAGGCCAGCCCAGGCAAAAAAGTTAGCAAGACCCCATCTCAACAAATAGTTGGGTACTGTCATCCCAACTCTATATAAATTACTAAGCTACACAGGGAAACGTGTTTTTTGGTTTTAGTGACGTTTGTAGAGCAATGAGTCAATGAAAATATTTGTTTGAAAGAACATGAATGTGAATGAGATACTGATGAAACAGAGAGACAGAAATGTGTTCTTACTCATGTCACAATTCACAATACCTGGATAAAAGGAATGGCATAGCTAAGTGGTTTCCAAAGTTTTGTGCTTCAGTGAAGTGTTTTATTATCTATTCAGATCCAGAGAATCTGCTGGACTCTGAAGTCTGCAGTAATAACACAAATTCATTATCATTCTCTCCGCTAGCCTGACTCTTTCTCTGGTTCTCTTGATTATCTTAACATTACCACTAAAGCACTTAGTCATTCCTTTTATGCAAGTATTGTGTACTGTAACTTGAGTTATTGTCTTCTAAAACCAAACCTAAAATTCCACCTACCTCTTATATCATATCACAGGGAGACCATTTAAACACATAAAATATATGTGAACAATGACTATAGGGGAGTAAGAAGTCAATATATTTTGAATGACTTCTCAGGAAATCATATGTCAACAGTAAGTCATCCTAACACCTTCAAGACTGTGAGATATTCCTCAGTTAGGGACACATGTTATGAGAAGTTTGTTTATCATATTAATACATGTGCATAAGCAATAGCAATACTATGGACTCCATTTTGAACAGGTTGTGGACAACGCACAATAACTCCCTCTGGCAATAAAATTGCAGGGGGCCAGGATGCTGAGGAAGGAGAATGGCCCTGGCAAGCAAGCCTTCAACAGAACAACATCCACCGATGTGGAGCCACTCTTATTAGTAACACCTGGCTCGTCACTGCTGCTCATTGTTTCATAAAGTAAGCTCTGATGCAGGTAAAGATAAAGCCACTCAAGTATCTAAAAGTCTAATAATATCATTCATAAATATGGCCATATAACTGTCCAATATTGTTGGATATAATCTCAGAATTACTCAGTGATTTATTAGTAAAATAGCAGATATGGTCAGCCTAGAACAGGGCTTCTCGAAAGTGGAAATACTGGTATTTTTAGACTGGTTAATTCTTTCTTATGGGAAGCTGTCCTGTGCTTTGTGGAATATTTAGCAGTATTCCTGCTCTTACCCACCAGTAGCTCAGTACTGACAACCAAAATGGCTCCAGATATTGCTAAATGATAAGCAGGGAAAGGGGTAAAAATGGCCGCCAATTAAGAAATATTAGGTTAGTCATTTGCTTCAATTTTATTTAAAAAATTTAAATCTCAAGTTGAAAATGGGTCTTCTATTTTTTCCTCTTATTATAGTTGATTTTATTTCTTTAATCATAGGTAATTGAATTCATCTTGCTTGCCCACATATGTACAGCCCCATTTGAAATGATGACTTTTTTCCTCTTTTTTTGAGACAGAGTTTCAAGATGACCTTGAATTTGCTATGTAACTCAGGCTGGCCTGGAACTCAAGATCCTCCTGCACCTGCCAATGCCTTAGTGCTGGCATTACAGGAGTTGTACCATAACATCTGGCTGAAATGATAGTTTCCTTAAAGGATATATTATTGTACCAAAGTTTGGTCCTTTTCCACCTAAAAGATTTTTATACTTTTTGAGGTTATTTTCATTAATTCCAGTGGTTTTCTGTAGTTTTCGGGTTTTGCAGTTATCGGTTTTTTTAAATCCCCCTCAAACTTTATCAGCTCTTCAAAATCATGCTTGCTTATGATGTAGCTTTAGTAGAGAGTCACTATTTTTTCAGTACTTAATGTACAAATCTTTGCATAACAAATAAAAAATTTCCTTATCATTTTCAATGATTTAAAGATAGAATCTGTACTATTTCTTTAATTACCATAAATTAACTCAATCCTTGACCACTTCTTATTTAATCTTGCTATTTTGTGAGGTCATTTTTATCTTTCTAAATCCCCATTAGTACTTTCTGTTCAAATCAAGAAATAAAATACAGTTTCCATGGGATATCTTTTAAGGCAGAATTTATTTTTGTTCATGTTATCATTATTTTTATGCTTTCTTTTTCATATGACTTTAATTTTGTATGCTTATAAGTACTATGAGAATTCAAACAAAACTAATTATTTTAAAACAGTTAAGAGATTAACTCCTACATCTTCAATATACAGGACGTTTAATAAATAAATCTATCCTCTCTAGGGCCAGTAATCCCAAAGACTGGAATGTTAGTTTTGGGCTTCTTTTAAGTGATCCGCAAATACGACGAACTATCAAGGATATTATAATTCATGAAAAGTACCGATACCCTGCACACGATAATGATATTGCTGTTGTGCGTCTGTCTTCACCAGTATTATATTCAAGCAACATCCGAAGGGCATGTCTTCCAGAAATTACTCATAAATTACCACCCAATTCAGATGTGGTGGTCACTGGATGGGGAACATTAAAGTCTGATGGTGAGTTCCTAACCTTTCTCCATTACATATTTTGAGTTTTAGAGTTAAAGAGAAATATACTTTGAATTAAAACTAAATCTGGAGAACACTTTCTGTGGATTATTTTAAAAAGGATAATGTGCAAAGGAGTAAAAAGTATCCTCAGTATCATATATACAGAAACTACAATTTCATAGAGCTGGTCACCATAATTCTCCTAAAATAGTTTTTACAGAATTTGTTATTTAGGTATATATTTCAACTTCCTCCATTTCATTCATCCATTTATTCAATAAACATTTATTTTGAGTAACACCTTTATTCACAGTACTGTTCTATGTGGTTTGGATATTTTAAAGAGTAAAGCAAATAGGCAATTATTCTTATCTTTTAGTAAAGAAAAAGCTTCCATTCTTAGTAAAGGAAGACAGACAATAGTCACAAAATATAAGAAATAAGTAAACTATATTGTATGTGTTATGCAGTTAAGTATCAAAGGAAAAAATTAAGATTCTAGCACATTAGGCACTGTTGATAAAATGAAATAAGTAACCAGTAGTAAGGAAATGATGCTTAAGCAAAGACTATTTATGCAATGGGCATCCTCCTGAACCTAATAATGTAAAGATTCAGTGGTTATTTATGTTCATAAATGCATTTTGAAAGCAGAAAAATAGCCTAAAATTAATTCTAAGATCCAGAATCATAGTTATAAACTTGGATGAAAATATAAAAAGATCATGAAAGGTATGCTTCTGGGATATGAATTTTTAACTTTGCTTTCTAAAGGTATATGTGTAGTAAATATAAAATTCTAAAATAGAGCTGGAGGCATAGCTCAAGTGGTATGGCACTTACCTAGCAAGTGCAAGGTCCCAAGCTCAAACTTAAATTTTTTGTAATTCTAAAATAATTTTAAAGAAAAAAATCCCATTAAATGGCTATACACACTAAGTATTTCTAAATACAGTAACTTTTAGCAATATCTTAGTGCATCCATAAACATTACTTGCCTCTTTGTTACAATGCAAGTTGAAAAATGAAAGTTTGGTTAAAACATATGTTTTACATTGATTTTGAAATTGTAATATTTTGAACATCAGATACTACTAACCTATCCAGAGAAATAAATACTGAGTTTAGCAAAAATTGTGTCATTTTCTTCCTTTAGGAAAAAGTCCTAATATACTACAAAAAGGATTAGTGAAAATTATAGATAATAAGACCTGCAACAGTGAAAAGGTGTATGGTGGAGTCATCACACCTGGAATGCTATGTGCTGGGTTCCTGGAAGGACATGTGGATGCCTGCCAGGTAAATCTGTCTAGTCTGTTTTCAAGATTTTTTTCTTGTAGTTTGAAATTTATACTTTACAATTTACAATTAGCCAGTTCAATTTTCTTAAATTTTAAAGGCTTAAGCATCTTTTATGGCTAAAGGATCTAATCAAAACTATATTGAGCTGGGCAGTGGTGGTTTAGGCCTATAATCCTAGCTACTTGGGAGGTTGATATTGGGAAGATGGTGGTTGGAGGACAGCCTGAGCAAACAGTTCTCGAGATTCCATCTCCAAAGTAACCAGGGTAAAATGAACTAGAAGTGTTGCTCAAGCACTAGAGTGCCTGCTTTGCAAGTGCTGAGTTCAAACCCCAGTCCAACCAAGAAAAAATCTATATTGATGTCAATAAAGTCTCATTAAAGTACTGAGATGTTAAATCACCTTTCCTGTTATAAGAAGGTGTGTTCACTGGAGAAGATACTCAGAATAAGGATTAGACATTTTGCTACCTAGCTCTCTGTACCCTTATTTTCCTTAGCATATGATATTTTCTTCTACTAACCAGAAAAAATTAAAGCAATCACATGAGAAACCCTTTCATTTTCTCTTTCCTTAATACATTTATATTTTCATTCATCCTCACCATCTGGCCTCAGAATAAACAAGTTTCTTCTACTATTCAAAGCCATAGAGTGCCTGTCTAGCAAGCATGAAGTCCTGAGTTCAAACCCCAGTACCACCAAGAAAAAAAATCTAACTCACCAAAGCAGAGTATAATGGTTGCCGGGGTATTATGGTTGCCAGGGGCTGGGAGGTGTGGGAGAAAATGAAAGGATGTTGTTAAGATGGTGAAAACTTCTAGTTACAAAATTAGTAAATGTGGCCAGGTATGGGTGGCTCATACCTATAATATTAACTACTCAGGTAGCAGAGATGCCAGCTCAGAAAATATCTCATGAGACCCTACCTAGAAAATACCCACACACACACACACACACACACACACACACACACACACAGGTTGGCAGAGTAGCTTAAACTATAAGAGCACCTACCTAGCAGGCCTGAAGCCCTGAGTTTAAACCCCAGCACCACCAAAAATAAATTAATAAGTTTTGGGGATCTTATGTATAGTATAGTGACTCAATAATGATCTATTATACTCAAAAATTGTAATAGAAGTCAATGTTACACATTCTCACACAAAAAGTACATATGTGAAGTAATGAACAAGTTAACCTCTTGGTTGAGGAAATTATTTCACAATGTATACCTGAAATAAGTACAATATATATTTGTTAATCATACCTTAATTTTGCAAAAAGATGAACTACATCTATCTGTCTGAGAAGGAGAGGAGATATAGATCTGGATTACTGTAAGTGAGATGAGAAGTCAAAAGGGACAATACAAGGAATGGAGAAATTGCCACCTCTTACTCTCCACTCTAAGAATTTGAAAGCAATACACTAGGTTCAGAGTGACAGAACTGGTTTTTTTTTTTTTTGAATTGTGAAATGACTGCCTGAAATTGTGAATAACTGCTTTAAAAATATGAAATAAAGTTGGCCAGAGACACTAAAAATATTTTAAGAAATAATTTTGTAACATGATTTTATTTCCCAGTATGTGGTTGGGTCCAGGATATGATGGGGAGGAAAGTAAGGAGCTAAAGATTCTGTTGAGAGAGTAGTAATGCGAGTGAATTGTGGACTGTGACTGTAGCCTGCATAAAGAAATATGGGAATGAGGAAATGAGCTAATACATCAATGGGAGAATTAGAGAATTGACATTCTTTTTTTTTTTTCATTTTTCTTTTATTATTCATATGTGCATACAAGGCTTGGTTCATTTCTCCCCCCTGCCCCCACCCCCTCCCTTACCACCCACTCCACCCCCCCCAATACCCAGCAGAAACTATTTTGCCCTTATTTCTAATTTTGTTGTAGAGAGAGTATAAGCAATAATAGGAAGGAACAAGGGTTTTTGCTGGTTGAGATAAGGATAGCTATACAGGGAGTTGACTCACATTGATTTCCTGTATGTGGGTGTTACCTTCTAGGTTAAGAGAATTGACATTCTTGTTGAAGTTTAAGAGCAGACACAGAGTGAAACTGGAAAAAGTGGGATACAAAACTGAAGTGGTTAGTACATGCAATCATTATGCTGAATACTAGTGTTTCAGAAGTGGGGCAGTTTCAGGTAATGACAAGAAGTGACAAGGACAGGAAAAGTTGAATAAAATGTAGATGATCAGAGTAAAAGAAGTCAAGAGAGTGTGGGTTAAGATATTAGGTATGTCATCTCATACATATTAAAATTACCCAGGATGATGAGAAGGATTAGAACAAAGGAAAATCCAGGCATTAAGGTATGCCATCCTTCTGGGGAAATGGTGTAAAGGTGAGTAGATGAAAACTATAGAAGTGTTGAGCAGGAATAGCTAAATTATATAGTTCTTGTAATAGAACATTACATAATCTCATTCTCATAGAGAATGGACTCATTGGACTGAGAGCAATAGTCCAGTGTCTGTGGTGAGTAAATACAAGTCTTCCTTTTTTCCAGCATCTGCCTGAAAATAGGTGTTGGGGGAAGATACTCAGAGAGTTCCTCAGAATATTGATGACTGCCTAAGCAATAATATCCTCAACAGCTTCTTTGATAAATAAGTTGAAACTTTTCATATCTGTATTCCATTATTGTATTCTTATGTCCAAAGACATGTATTGATATTTTAGATTTAAGTATATAATCACAGGATACAAAAATATTCCAGACTAGCATTATTTAAGTATTAAAATATCTAGGGTTTTTTATTCTCTCCTTCCCTGTCTTTACCACAAAAGAAAAATATGCAGTATTCCCCTTTAAATGTATGGTAATTTTATGTATTTTTCTCCCTAGGGTGATTCTGGTGGTCCACTGGTTAGTGAAGATTCTAAAGGCACCTGGTTCCTTGTTGGTATTGTAAGCTGGGGAGATGAATGTGCTCTTCCAAACAAGCCTGGTGTCTACACTCGAGTGACACACTATAGAGACTGGATCAGGTCCAAAACTGGTCTCTAGTGTAGAAATCCTCTGTAGATTAAAGCTCAAAGGTTATATGCTCTTTACATACATTTGCAACTTCCAGACCCACATTTAATTTAGATATCACCTCTTCCTATACACATTTAAATACATGCAACTTTAGAACTATGAAAACTTGTTTATTATACTGAAACAATGGTTTAATGAAACTGTGAATCAGGACATACAACTTTCCCTTTTACCCCTTTCTATATTGACAGTAATTATTATGAGTAAATATGGTTTTGATTTATTAAGGAAATATTCTCTGGTAATTTGCAGGTTCAAATCTTTTGGGAAATCATTGAGTAGGTGTTAGCAATAAATTCTGTTTATTTAACAGTCCTCTGCTGACAAGCACATGGGTTCAACAGGATCAATATATTTATGGGTTTTAGTCTATTGAGTTGTAGTAATACTACCTAAAAGAATTATTCAGGAAAATCTGTCCACCTGTTTTTGATTTTGTATTTATTTTCTGGCCAAAGTGCCAATGCTAATCCCTTCTTTATTTATGGCTTGCTAACCTTCAGTAACAGAAAACAATATGACAATCCCATTGGGTGCATTGAATAAGCTGCTTGTTGATTTATCCTGTTTCTCTTTTGAGTGTGAAAGTGAGGCCAGAAAATGGTTCTCACATATACACACAATAATAACATATCTTCAGACCTATGGGCTTCAATATATGGCTTGAATACACCATGCAAAAAATACCATGCTTATATTCAAACTCTTAAAACTCTTCAATAATTCAACTTATCAACCAGAATAAATAATATAGAAATTTTGCCTCCACTTCACTCCCCTTTTGCCCATACAGAAATATCCTAGTTGAGGCCATAGCTAAACTGTTAGGCTAAATGAGTAGATCAGTTGTTGTTTATTCAAAATATTATCTCATGAAGTGCTTTCATAAACAATAACCCATCAATGTCTCTAGAGGAGTTTATCCTTCCCTTTTTATCACTAGCAATTTATAGCTACCACTAATAGCCTTCATCATGGTGTAATTTTTTTTCATAATTCTCCTCTGAAAATACATTAATAATAGTAGCTAACATTCATTGAGTTCTTACTATGTACCAGGCATACTTTGTACGTATTATTTCATTGAACTTACCCGGCAGCACCAGGAGTATGATCCCCTTCTTATGTCAGTTTTATAGATAAGGACACTGAGGTTTAGAAAAGTCAAGCAATTTTCTGAAGATCAAAGAGTTTATAGTCAACTAAGCTAGAATTCAAAAGCAATAATTGCATTCCAGAGCTCACACGTTTATGAAACTATTCTGTTATGTGAAACGATTATAACTAAAGTTCTACCTAGTATAGTATTCTAAAATGTAATATTTGTTAGAAATGTTATGGATGGATAAATTAATACAGCTTTGTTACTTAATTGAATTGAAAATACTTTGAGGTATCATTTTATAGTCATAAAATTAGTATTTCTACTATTTGATGTTTAAGAAATTAAGCATAAACAAAACAAAACTTTATGTATATTGGTCAAGATTAACTTGCTTGGATCCAGGTATGACTCTTGTGAAAAAGGTGGGTCTCTTGATTGACAAGCTTTCAAGGCAAGTATGGACATTTCAAGAAAAAAAGTACTTTTAAATAATAGTTACCCAATATATGTTACTTTTGAGTCAATACAATATTATTCAAAATCATAGAATCTCAAAATAGAGATTCTATATTTTCATATGAAATTAAGTACTAAGTTATAGATTTTGTGTTCTATATATATTATTATTTGGGAAAAAAAGCAATATAGACTAATAATTTAAGCCACCAGTACACTTCTTTGTCTAATTTTTTGTATGCAAAGACTGTAAAGTTCCTCTGAAAAAAAAACAAAATATTTCATCTCTAATTTAGAAAATAGTTTCACCTGAACACAAAAATGTTAAATAAGCAAAATTTCAGAATGAGCTTCCAAATAAGGCTGGTTTGAGTGAAGCTACCTGCATGATGATACACTATATAATAACAGATGCTCTTTTCCTTTCTACAAGTCAAAACAATAAGTAATAACAATAGCAATGATGTCTCCCCACCTGTGCATTAATGTTACAATTACCAGGTCTCTTCAGGTGCAGGCACTGGTGCTATAAAGACTATCTGCCAAGAGTTCATGATGAGTACACCTATAAAAGAATTAAACTGCACCCTTATTTTATGCCATACAAAAGTTGAAAATTAATTAAAGACTTAAATGTCAGATGTAAAACTTTAAAACTCCTAAAAGAAAATATCCTCCTTTACATTGGAACAAACAATGGTTTTTTGGCTATGACAGCAAAACCACAGAAAATAAAAGCAAAAATAAGCAAGTAGTACTACTTCCAACAAAAAATGTATGCATTACAAAGGAAACAAAATAAAAAGGTTATCTACAAAGCAGGAGAAAATATTTGCAAACATATATCTGATAAGGGTATAATAATCAAATATCAAAAATATATAAGGAACTCACACAACTCAGTACTGAATAAAACAATAAAACCAATAACCTAATTTGAAAATGAGCATATGTCTGAGTATGGTGGCATGCATCTGTGATCCCAGGTGGGAAGGAGGCATAGATAGGAAGATCTCAGTCTGAGGTCAACCTAGCAAAAACACGAGACTTTAACTGAATAATAACCTAAAGCAAAAAGGGGCTGAATGCCCAAGTGCTAAAGCATCTGCCTAGCAAACCCCAGTACCATACAAAAACTCTCTGTGTGTGTGTGTAATATGGAATACACACAAACACAATTGGAATATTATTCAGCATAAAAGAGAGAAAAATCTTGCCAATTGTGATAATATGGATGAACCTGGAGAATACTATGTTAAATGAGATGCCAGACACAGAAAAAGAAATACTGGGCTGGGCCTTATGATGCGTGCCTACAATCTCATTTACTTAGGAGGTGGAGAATAGGAGGATCATGATTGAAGGGCAGTCTGGGCAAAAACTTGATAAGATCCTATTTCAACCACCTGTCATCTCAATAAGACAACGGGGCATAAATAGAAGGACTGCAGCCCAGGTCAGTTGGGGCAAAAACATGAGATCCTCTTTGAAAAACAACTAAAGTAAAAAAGGCTAAGGGCGTGGCTCAAGTGGTAGAACACTTACATAGCAAATATGAAGCCCTAAATTCAAATACCAGTATCACCAAAGAGAGAGACAGAGAGAGAGAGAGAGGATGAAAGTATAATATTCCCTAGATGTACAATCTAAAAAAGCTGAACTCATAGACACAGTGTTACCAGGGGCTGGCAGATGTGCTAACTAATTTTATTGTAATAATCATTGCATAGTATATACATATAAAATCATCATATTCAGTTGAATATATACAAGCTTTACCAACTAAATATTTAAAATAAAAAAGAACTTTGAAACAATAGTGAAATTCAATACAGTGAATATAAATAATTACAAAGTTTATTAGATAGGTGAGTTACAAGTTCTGCATTTGAAATACCCTATATCCATCTCTCTTTGCCAGTAAGCTAGTAAAATCTTATTGAACTTAAGGTTCACTTCTCAGATGGTTTCTTCTTTCACCTTTTTTAACCCCATGCCTCTGTGACAGCTAGCTACTGAATTATCTGGCATCTCTTTCAGTGTCTTTGTGATTATTTATACTCAGATATGGCTTTCAGACGCTCTCCTTTGGTTGATTCAATAGCTAGTAAGACCAGTTTTATTACAATTTGCTGTCCTTATTAACATTCTTACTGCGATCTATGATTTCTCTCATTTCACTCTAATCTGCTGCTTTTCAGGCCTCTTTTCCTGGGTATACTATCTTTGTTTATGCTACTGGAAAATACATTTAGGATTGCTCAGACTTTTTATGAACAATTCTGGGATTTTTTTTCCTTTTTCTTTTTTTTTTTTTTTAATTTTTTTAGATAAGGTCTCACTTTATGCCTGCCTGGACTGCAGTCCTTCTATTTGTGCTTCCTCACATAGCTAGGATGAAAAGCATGTACTACCACACCCAGCTGTTGGTTGAGATGGGGTCTTGATAAGTTTTTGCCTGGGCTGGCTTCACACCACAACCACCTAATCTCCACCTCCTGAGTAGCTAGGATTCCAGGCATGAGCCACCATGCCTGATCTTTTCTGGCATGCTTCATTTATTTATTTCAAAAAGTTCTCATAGTGTTGTGGGAGTTTTCTAGCTGAGATACAGGATTCTTGAGGCAATTAGCAGGAAGCAACATTTTATTGTGCCAGTACAGACTCAGTGTACTCATGTCTAAAGGCTGAGCCCTGAGAACAAAGGGGTCTCACCTTATATACCCTTGCAAGCAAAAAGCAAGGTCTAATCCATATATGGCTATATTTAATTTTATTGGCTATTTTACCCTTGTGCTATGTGACTTTCCCCTCCCTGGTGTTACATGACCTTCCACATGTTCAGATTTCTCAGGTTTTATCTCCCTGCTATGCCATCCCTACCTCCCTGCTACTTTCTCAGGACTCAGGCCTAGACTGTTTTCTTCTGATCCTCCTCTCTGCTACAATAGTTTAAGTGGAAATTACTGGCTTCCTCAAAGATTTTTCACTAAGAAGACTTACATGAAGTAGACAACACTAGGCCAAAACAAAAACCTATACAGAAAGTTTGTCCTCACTTCATTTTTAAGACTCCTGCTAAAAAAAAAAGAGCCATACTAAATTCATTTTCAAGCTCCAGAAATAGGATATCCCTATGATATTCCTTTAATAAAATCCATGAGATTATGAGCTCTTTTTCTTATTCTCTATTCCTATAATCTAAAACCCTGTTTATTACATAATAAATATTTGTTAAGTAAATCAACAAAAGAATGAGTGAATGACTCAAGTTTGCAAATTATGGTTCATATGATTCTATTAAATAAGACATACAACAAATGACAATATACCATTTTAATGAGTAGAAAATTATGCACAGTAAAAGAAAACAATAGGAAATGACTATGAAGTTAAAAGAGAACTTAAAGGGCATGTCACAAATTTACAGAAAGCTGTGAAACCCAGAAGGATTGGAGCTCACACTAGAAAATTGGAATCTCCTGACTCCCAGTATATTAGCGCTCTTCCTTTTATACTATTTTCCTTTTGAAAATGTAGTTTCAGTTCCATTACAGGCATGCTATTATCCTCAAACACTGATTTCCTAGAGGGAGGAAGGGAGGACAGGAAATTTAAAGGATGAAAAGAAAAAGGAAAGGAAGGACAAGAACTAATGAAGCTCATTTTTTCTTTCCCTAAATGTAGAAGACAAAGGAAAAAACATACTTCAGTATAATCAAATTTTACCGTGAACATTTTTTATTTGTTCTATTGGTTGCTGGCTTACATATGATGGCTTTTCAGATTTGTAAATCTATCCAGTTGTTATTTTGTTTTGTTTTGCTTCAAGTATATGACCCTGATTAGATTAACTGACATGATGTAAGTGCAAAGCCTTTTGAGTTCTTAAGAAAAACAAATTATTGTAATCAGGACTGTTTGAAGAAACCCATTGTAGCTAATGCAGTAGATACAAATTTTATGGTCACAAATCTTAGCTCTAAAAAAAGTCTCTCTGATATTCTATGTAAATATGGTATCACTCTCTTCCCTAAAATCTCAATACCCTCTTTTATGCTTATTGGGAACTACTGGGCTAAAATACTGCTTGGGTTATTTTCAAGATAGAGTCTTGTGAACTATTTGCCCAGGCTGGTTTGAACCATGATTCTCCTAATCTCTGCCTCCTGAGTAGCTAGAATTACAGGCGTGAGCCACTGACACCTGACTTACAATACTTTTTTTTTTAACACTATAAACAGTGTTTGTAAGACACCGTTACTCAGAATTTTTGGTAGGACTAGAAATTTTCTTAAATTTATCTAATTTTACTGACTGATTCTTATTTATAAGCAATCCTCATTATTTGCAAATTTGCCCACTTGCTAAATTTTATTTGCCAAAGTTACTATCCATGGTAATTTCATGATTGTTCATTACATGTAGGTGTAGAGTGGTGAAAGATTTGAGTAGCCCTGTGTGAAGTTTTCCAGCTGCAGTTAAATAGGGCAATGTTTAGCTCTCACAATGCAAACAAGCATCCCTTTTGCAATCTATTTAGAGTCAAGCTTTTCAATTTTTTTTACGCTTTTTGTTACTGATTTTGTTCTTTAGAACAGCCCCCAAGCTAATGCTGATCTGCTACCTAGTGATCTTAACTGCAAGAGATTGTGAGGTACCTTTGGAGAAAATCCATCCAGAAAATTTGTCAATTGGTAGAGGAGTCTGCTCCAGAAAAATGTATAAATAAAACTTATTGTGTGTGCTGAAGCTATGGAAAGGATAAAGAAGTGGCTAAATTCATGGAATCATGCATGATATGAGGCCTGAGGTTGATTGGTTGGGTTTTTTTTAGTGTAGTGAAAAGCACTCCTGAAAGCCAAAGAAATTGACAGCAGCTGGATTACATACTTCCAAAGACAGTATGACAATACAGTGCGGAAAATGTTAAACTTACAGGTAAGGTAGGTTCTGCAGCTGTGGAGGAGTTTTTTTAATGCCTGCTAAGTGTAATACAGAGAAAGAGTTATGAGGAACAGTAGGTTTTCAACACTGATGAGACTGCCTTGTTTTATAAGGACTTTGGCAAATGACCATATACAATACAAATGGTATTTTGGCTCCCAGGATTCTAACCCTTTAGTTTCCCTAGAAGCAGTGGTTCAGTCTTCACTAATTTAGTGTTCATAGTGACTTTATAGGATGTAACTATGATAAATAATGAGAGTCAACTGTGTTTGGGCTGTATATGTGCTTAAAATAAGTAAAATAGACAATCTTTCTAAAAGGCATACTTACCATGATTTTCATCTTATCCGTTCCTCCCACTAATTATTCTAAAACAAATTTCAGAAACAAAATATTCTTGTACTAGACTCTTCAGAAAGCCATTCCATGCTCTGCAATATAACATTTTATCCAAGTCTAGAAGTACTGAGAAAAGCCAGTAATTCTGGGCATATAGTGACAAAGTAGGGAGGCCAAGTAAGCAACTGGTCTAAGCTGTTCAAGATCCAAGAGGCACTCAAACAGATGGAAGCTGAGGAGACACATAAGACATGTCTGGTAGACCTATCTAAATTTCTGTAAGACCAAATACACTACCAAAAGGCCTGGCTGATCTGCTTACTTTATATCACCATCAAAGACTACGAAAGTATATTTAATAGATATTTAGTAACTCTGTTAAATAAGTGAATATAAGGAGGGATAAATAAGTAAATAAAACAAGAATGAACCATCTAAGTCAAAATAAACATCTTTATCCTTAATATTGTCCCTGCTTTGGTTGCCACAGAAACAAACTAGCTGGTGGTCTAATCAAATCAAAGTGCTTATGTAAGTCAAACCACACTATTGGTATGTCTGAATGCCATCATCAAGTACTCACCATAAAAGACAAAATAGTGAGATAAAGAGATTCTAAATGATTCCAAAGTGAAATAATGATATAACATGTACAGGGGCATAAATATTCATATTCATATTATATTATATATTCATGTTATATTATATATACAAACATATATAACTGTACTTACAGTACTTATTCAAGTATTTTTCCAATATCTAGTTCCCCTATAAGCATTACAATATTTAGACAATTATGAAAACAAGGCAATAATAAAAAACTAATCATCTTTACTCTAACTTAAGCTTGGATAATCTGATCAGTAAGATCAACTGACAAATTTGAATCTAGCCTAATTGGTATTAGATCAAATTGATTCTAACTGTTAATGTATAAATTTTGTGTTTTGTGTAGTGTAGTGATTTTTAAAATATGGAGTACTTCACAAATTTGCATGTCATCCTTGTGCAAGAGCCATGTTAATCTTCTGTGTCGTTCCAATTTTAGTATATGTGCTGCCTAAGGGAGCACTGTAGTTACCTTCAAATTAACATATATGTCTAGTCTTTGAATACTCAGCAATGTGTGCTTTAAAAAGAAAACAAAGAAATGTTTTTGAGAAATATATTAAATTTTTTTAGAGGGAGAACAATGGAAAGGAGGAATCAAATTGGGGTATATTATAGGTGTACATGGAAACTTCACCATGAAACCCCCTGTACAACTACTAAAAACTAATAAAAAATTTAGTAAATAAATAATAAAGCAAAAGCTTTCTTTCTTTACTCTGAATAAAACTGAACTGTGGGTTCTCTGTAGAAAGCAGCATTTTGGGCTTTCCCTCTTTTCTGTCAAGCAATTTCTGCCTAGTTCATTGTCCAGTTAACTCTAGTTAAGCTTTTAAAAGGTGGCATTGTAAATAAAACAACTTGCAAAAAGTTTTATTATCTTTATTCATGAGTTGGAAACTGGAAAAGGCTTACTTGAAGTTAATGTTCTGAGTGGGGATATTGGGATGTCTTCCAGACTCCTAGAGTCAAGCACGTACCACTGATACTGATTAGCTTACATGTAGCAGAGCTCTTAATTGGACTTGAGGACTTTTTTTTAAAATCTTCCCAGCTTTGAATATGTTGTCGAGAGTCAGTTACTACCTGGTTTGTGGGTTTTTAGGAGAAATATAAGTAGACAATTTGTTAGCTTTTCAATTTAAAAAGACTTAATTCATGTGGTATGTCATCTTTTTATAATCATTGTTCCCATGTAGGGAAAACCATTCACACTACTTGCAAGTAATAAAGTAATTAAACCTTTAACATTAAAATGTGTGACAAAACCCAGACAACATCTATTATGAGTTGAAGATACTTTCAACTATCTTCAAAAGTAAATTATAAAATGTATTTAAAGAACCCATATTTTGCATTTATGTCTACCATCAATGTGTTTGGGTTACTTAAGAATAGTTATAATATACATTAGGATACTTAGGATCTTTTGTACAAAGTGTTTACAGTATAGTATTGTTAAAAATTAAATATATGTTCATTTTTATAAATATTATTGAGTCTCTACAATGTGCCAGTTCACATTTGGCTCTGGAGACTTTAAAATAAATATTTGAAACCTTCAAAAGAAAAGGTAAATTATAAAATAAATAAATTCTTTTATTTTTTTTTTTAATTGGGTTTTTACTGGGCTGGGCTTGGACCGAAATCCTCTTACCTATGTCTCCTGAAAAGTTGAGACCACAGGCCCACAGAACACACCTGTCTTGTTAGTTGAAATGGGGTTTTACTAATGTTTTGCCAAGGCTGGCCTTAAACCACAATTGCTCCTTCCCATCTCTGCCTCCCAAGTGGCTGGGATTACAGGCCTGAATCCCATACCTGGCACCAAGAACTGTATTAAATTCTTAAGACAACAACAATGCAAAATAAATTAATAAATTCTTAAAACAACAGATTTTTAATAAGATCAGGCTTTTTTGTATTTTTCATTTCATTTTGCATCTGTGTGATAGAATACTACACTGAACAGTTCTTAGAAAATCTCTTCATTACAATTAATCGAATAAAATCATGAGTGACTTTTAACTTCAAAAGTAGGCTTCAGATGTACTTCCTCACTTAGGAAAAAATGTTGTGGAAACCAGGCCATCTGCTGAGGTGCTACAGTTACATTTGGCCTTCAGAATGTGTTTGGCATCCTCTGTTTCAGCACTCTGTTGGATTACAAATCCACAAAACAAGTTCACCTTGATCTTTCACATCAAGTCTAAACTATCTTGGGGACAAAATTCAACATAAATCTAAACGTGTGACGTTTCCATCTAACCAAGATAGATATAAAACAGGACTTTGGGTTCTTACAATAAAATATCAGAACTCTCAGAAACACAAGTTTCCATTCTTTATCTTTGGGGAAATATGGCAAACAGTGCCTCTCCTGAACAGAATCAAAACCACTGTTCAGCCATCAACAACAGCATCCCGCTGATGCAGGGGAACCTCCCCACCCTGACCTTATCTGGAAAGATCCGAGTGACAGTGACTTTCTTCCTTTTTCTACTCTCCACCATTTTTAATGCTTCTTTCTTGTTGAAACTTCAGAATTGGACTCAGAAGGAGAAAGGGAAAAAGCTCTCCAGAATGAAGGTGCTTTTAAAACACTTGACTTTAGCCAACCTGTTGGAGACTCTGATTGTCATGCCACTAGACGGGATGTGGAACATTACAGTCCAGTGGTATGCTGGAG